TTGACAAAGCTACATGAAGATTTTGGTCTCAAAAATAGCTGTCTAACCAGTAAAACCACACAGGCTGTTGTCTGTTGGCATCATCACGCATATGCACAGAGACATCAACATCTAAGGCAATAAACAGAACAATCATCTGCAGCTACTGACCAAAAAAAAAAAAAAAAACAAAAAAAACCCCAAAAGCCTGCAAATTAATCTTTTGTTCGTTTCCAAAACTTTGATTTTGCTTATAACATCTTTGTATTTTTCGTAATTTTAAAATAAGTGCTGATTCAGCTTCACAGCATTATTAAGAACCAGACATTATCTCTGTAGCCCACCCCATATTTTTTCTCAAGCAAGTAAGTGTTAATGCATTCAACTGGAGGTGAAGCTGATAAAATTCTGGCATATTACATGTTTTCACTTCTTAAAAGTGATGTTATTAATATAATTAATCAGTTATTAGAAATAAAGACCAGCCAACACACATGAACTTGATCACTTCTAATGGATGAAACAACATGCACTCACACTAACTGCATCCAAACAAAAGGCCCACATGAAGTTTTAACAAGAAAATTTTACAAAAGCCCTAGAATTGTTCTTTTTTAGTACATGTCTGATTATCCCTGATTGCCAACTTATTAAAGATAAAATTACAAAACAGTATTTAGCATTCAAACCAGTCTATAGCTAAAATAAGTCACCATTAGTCACCATGAGAAAAGAGAAGATGCTACCTTTAATGCAAAGCATTAGAAAAAGTCCCTCAGTAGCAGATTGTTTGTGGTTAAACACCAGATTACGAACACATTCACATTTTAAGACTGAACAGGAAAGCAGAAATAAGCTACTTAAAGGAGTAGCTGGAAGCAACCCCTCTCCCGCTGAAGAAATGAAAGCTAGGGGAGACTTAGAAACATGTATAAATTCTTTAATTACTATACCACTCAATCTTCACAGGAAAAAAAAAAAAAGGAACAAGATTTCTACAACACTTTAGGCTGATGAGATACATTAATGACATTGGTAAAAATGAAATCATCCTTACTCCTCCGGTGTGTGCCATCAACTAACTTCATACACACAGACCTTAAAACCAATCAGCAGACACTAAAGCCAAGCCATGACTCCCAAAAAAAGGCACACACTGTACACCATCGAATGCAAAAGGAATTTTATCCTTCAAACCCAGCACAGCACTGGCTGTAACTATTAACCCGGTTCTGCTGTAGAGAAACACAACGTGCATTACTGAATCATTTCTTTTCAAATCCATACATTCCCTGCAGCAGTTCAAGCTTCATCAGCAGTGCAGGAATGTATGAAAATGACAGGCAAAGGGCACTAGCTCTTTTCCCATACAGTTCTTCTATAAATGGAAGCAGAATCCTACAAAGCACTTAAAGCTGAGAATGTTTGAAGACTGATCTCCAGGAAAAAAATAACACAATGCTAGGTTCCACAAGCAGATTAATTATTCCGTTTTCTGCAAAACTGTTTCCATAAAATGAAAGAACAGAGGGGAAACTAACTACTAGAAAATAAGGGAACACTAGCTGGGTCTCATCAGCAAAGCTGCCATGAACAAAGTATATACAAACACATACATATTTCATATGCTATTCTTAAAAATACTTCTCAGCCCTTTCGGGAGCACCTGCTCCTGAATTCACTTTTCCCTCTGCCTCTCAGCAAGGGAGAAAAAGGACAGGCTTGGCAGAAATCCTTTAACAGTCTTAAGTCACTTGATTCACCTTAAAAATTACACCTTTTATCAGTAGCATGTTATAGATACTTTAAAATACACCGGTCATGATTAAAAGACTGAAATATTTAATGTATGCCACATCAATAAGCTGGTTAGGGAATCAAATGAAAGTATGCTATATCATAACGCAGCAAGAAACTTGCATGCTTATTGCTAAAACTCTGAGCTGCCTTCCAGCTTTTTTTCTTTTGTTGTTTCAGTGGTTAACACAAATCCATAATGTTCTCTTGATGAATAAATAAAAAAAAAAAAAAAAAAAAAAAAAGTCTTAATGGCAGCCCTCACTGCTCCTTTGCCATCCTGAGTGTGAAGAAAATACCGTGGCACATCCCTTGCCTGCACGGCTGGATTTACACCCGCCCGAGCTCCCTGCCGTACGAGCGGGAGGGGGCAGGAGGAACCAAGGCAAGAGCAAACACTGCACACCGCGTCTCATTCCCAGTATCTTTTTACAGAAGCCCTCGCTAACAAAACACTATAGCTCCAGGCAGCGGCATGCTGATGTTGGCACTGCTTAAACCAAACAAACACGATGTTTAACAGTCAAATAAAATGTCCCGCAGCCTCCCTAATGAATTTGTCAAGGACCATCAGATCACCCCCGCCCCTGCCTCATTAACTCAAGTATGATGAGACGGATTATAACGAGAGAATACAGATCAATCGGTCTGAAGACTTCAAGTGGCTTTTAGCCCTGAGAGTTTCCCTCTCTGCGGCACACGCACGCACACGGTCTTTTTTAATGGAATACAGTATCTCCTGCTGCTGGAGGGGATGCCACTTCGTTTTATACACCATCAAGGAGCTGCTGATGGACTTCTACACTAACATACATAAAAGCAGAGGTGACAAGGGCTCTTCAATTATAGCCTCCTCGGATCCTGTTCCCCCTTCAATTATTCATCCCGGCGAGAGCAAATTCCGCCACAGATGAAGCTGGTCTTAATGCAGTGCGGCCACAAACGCCCAGACACGGGAGAGAAGGATCTCACGTGCATTATTTGCTGGAAGTGTTTAAGTTTATTGCTCAAATGATGTTTCTAATTAGCGTTGGGGCAATAAATTAAAGTCAGCTTTTGTTTAGCTGATTTATCATTTACTAGGGTTTCAACCTCAGGCAGGAAAATTGGTAATGAATTGTTTTAAATCTGAACACTGGTAACGCTACATCATTAGGCACCTTTTCGGGGGTGGGGGGGGTGGGAAGGGAATCGCCCCCTCCTCCTGCTTTTACCCTGAAAAAAGGAACGCGTGTGACCCCGCCATTGCCAGGGCGGCCCAAAAGCTCCGGCAACCTCCTCCGCGCCCAGATCACGGTAACCCCTAGGCTGGGCGCTCCCTGAGGGAAGCGAGAGCCCGCGGAGCCCTGCTGCCCACCTCCGCTCGGAGGGCGGGTGTGCAGAGCCCTCGCCGGCGCGGAGAGCGGCGCTAGCCCGGCAGCGAGTACGCCCCGGGAGCTTTCCCGGCGTGTGAAAGGGACCCCCGGCCCTACCTAACTCTTCCCTTTGCCGGAGGGCAGCGGAAGGCGAGGCGTGGGACCCTGGCAGCTCCGCCGGGCCAGCCGAGCAGAGAAGCGCCGCGCAGGCGAGCCTCCGAGCGCCCCGGCGGGCGCGGCCGCGGGCAGGGCCCGGGCAGCTCCGCAGGCACTCACCGCGCCTCGGGGCAGAGAGCCCCGCTCCAGCCCGCGCATCGCCGTGAGAACAGCGGCGCCAGCGCCCACTCTGCCCCCGCGGCAGCCTGCCCCCTCTCCCGCAGCCCTCGGAGGCTGCTCGCCTCGGAGCCTTCCCTGGGCTCGTCTCCCTCCCGACGGGGCTGGGTCTGGCCAGCTCCGGGCACCGCGGGCCGCCGGGCTAGCCCCTCCATCCCCCGGCGCAGAGTGCCCCGGCGGCAGGCAGGGAAGCAGGGAGCCCATCCTCTCCTCGCGAAGGACGGAGCCGCACCGGCGCCGGGCACGTCTATACTTACTTCTTCCAGCGGTACGGTCGGCACCAGACATGTTTCTAATTTAAGCGCACACAGAAAACAGACGGAGGTATTTTCTTTATTAAAATCAGTCAGCTGCAGCGAAAGGAGGAGAGCGCAAGGAACCGAGCTGCGAGCGGGTTACCGGGAGGCTCTGCACGGAGGAGCGCGCCGCGCGTCTGCAAGGGCACGGCCCCGGCGGGGCTCCCGGGAGGCGAGAGCCGCCCCGCACGGCGGGACTGCACGGCCCAGGGGAGGGCAAAGCAGCTACACACTCTTGCCCCGAGCACTGGAGGTATGGAAACTGCCCTCCCTTCCATTCTAAGTTCCCGCAGGAAAAGCAGATCTGGCTCCTCCGCAGCAGGTACTGCCCGGGGTTCCTTCCGACCTGACACTACGGAGCTACGGCTTTATGTCCAAACCATTCCATATTCTGATTAATACAAACTCGCATAAAATATCGTTTCTCTTTGAATAACTCAATCCTACACTTTAGGAGGATGAAAAGAACTTTATGACACAAGATTTATCTAAATTAAGATGACTGGGGGTAGTAAAACAAGGTGTGCCACGCTACTCCGGTGACGCTCTCACTTTCACTGCTGCAGCCCGGCATTAACCGAAATAAGATTTATGCCTGCGGTGAAGCCCCGGCCCGCCTCTCCCCTTTCCCCGCACACACCGGCACTGCCGCCGGGTCCCCTCGCAGCGAGCGGAGGGAGCAGCGAGTTCACCTCGCCCTTCACCGGCTGCCACGGCGAAATTACAGGGATTTTTTGTTCCACCCCACACCCACCGCACCGGGCGGCGGGACGCCCCGAGCCAGCCAGCCTGCCTGCCTGCCTGCCTGCCTCCCTCCCGGCTGCCCTGCAGCCCTTCCCGGCTCCAAGCCCTGGCGCGGGGCCGAGGGGCGGGAGCGCGGGCGCGTGTGCGCGCGCCGGGCGCCGCGATTGGCCGCGGCGCTGACAGCTCGGCGGCGATTGGCGGCGCGGACCCGCCCCGCGCCCGCGCGCGGCCCCATTCATAAACTACAGGGCCCGGCGGCAGCGCCGCGAGAGGGACGCGGGCACACGGCGCTGCAGGAGCGGAGCCAGAGGCGCGGACACTGGGAGCCTCGGCGCGCACTTTCAGGGGTGGGGAGGGGGAGAACCCATCCCGGGCACGGCAGCTGCGCCGTCCTCCCGCTCAGGATAAAACACAGTCTGTGCAAAGAAAACAAACAACAACAACAACAGCAGCAAAAAAAAAAAAAAAAAACCAAAAAAAAACCAAAAAAAAAAAAGCAACAACTCCTCTCTATACAGTCTCTCTCACAACAATCTATGTAGAGCTGCAGGACGGGAATGAGAGATCACAGACCAAGTGCACCCGTCTGCGCCTAAAGATAGAGACAGCCACAGAGCCGGGTTCAGCCAACGCCTCCAGCAGGAAAAGGGAAATCAACAACACCCCCTGAAAGTCTGAGCGAGCGGCAGACAAACTCATGCACATCTCTGGCGGTGCCACGGACTGAAAGAGAGACAGACAAACAGACAGACAGACACAGAGTTCACTCTTCCGCTAAGGGCATTGCTCGCATTCTTCTCCTCCTCTCGTACCGTGTGCGGTTTTAAACTTCGCCGCCGACCGGCTTTTCTGCGGGAACCTTCTGCGAGTCCTGGGGAAGTTTGTTTGTTGTTTTGGGTTTTTTTTTCCATGAACTATTGAAACGGCATTTTCGTCGCTGCGCGCGGGGGTGGGCGCCTGAGCGCAGAGGCAGCCCAGACTTCCCTGCCCCCATCGCTATCCAAAACTTTGAGCTCCGGGAGCCCGCGGGGGCTGCCCACCTCTCCGGCACCGGCTCCGGCATCACCAGCACAAGCACCAGCACCGCCGCCGAGCCCGCACCGGCCCGCTCCTCCTCCTTCTCCTCCTCGCCGGGGCAGCGCTGGGCTTCGCTCCTTTGTGCTTCGCCGCCCTCCCCGATTTCTTTAATTGCTCTCACTGGCGCGCCGCTGCCGCCTTCTTCCCGGAGGCGGTGGGGGTCTGCGATTTGGCTGGTGCCTTCCGCAAAGCTGCAGCCACCGCTAAAGCATTGGATCCCTCAACGTACTGCGAGAGCCCGGTGTACAGCCCGGACCTGTGCCCCAACATGATCGCCGCGCAGGCCAAGCTGGTCTACCAGCTCAACAAATACTACACGGAGCGCTGCCAGGCGCGCAAGGCAGCCATCGCCAAGACCATCCGGGAGGTGTGTAAGGTCGTGTCGGACGTGCTGAAGGAGGTGGAGGTGCAGGAACCGCGCTTCATCAGCTCCCTCAGCGAGATCGACGCCCGCTACGAGGGGCTGGAGGTGATCTCGCCCACCGAATTCGAGGTGGTGCTCTACCTCAACCAGATGGGCGTCTTCAACTTCGTGGACGACGGCTCCCTGCCGGGCTGCGCCGTGCTCAAGCTGAGCGACGGCCGCAAGCGCAGCATGTCCCTCTGGGTGGAGTTCATCACCGCCTCTGGCTACCTGTCCGCCCGCAAGATCCGCTCCCGCTTCCAGACGCTGGTGGCTCAGGCCGTGGACAAGTGCAGCTACCGGGACGTGGTGAAGATGATAGCGGACACGAGCGAGGTGAAGCTCCGCATCCGGGAGCGGTACGTGGTGCAGATCACGCCCGCCTTCAAGTGCACCGGGATCTGGCCGCGCAGCGCGGCGCAGTGGCCCATGCCCCACATCCCCTGGCCCGGCCCCAACCGGGTGGCGGAGGTGAAGGCGGAGGGCTTCAACCTGCTCTCCAAGGAGTGCTACTCGCTGACGGGCAAGCAGAGCTCGGCCGAGAGCGACGCGTGGGTGTTGCAGTTCGGCGAGGCCGAGAACCGGCTGCTGATGGGCGGCTGCCGGAACAAGTGCCTGTCGGTGCTGAAGACGCTGCGCGACCGGCACCTGGAGCTGCCCGGGCAGCCCCTCAACAACTACCACATGAAGACGCTGCTGCTGTACGAGTGCGAGAAACACCCGCGGGAGACCGACTGGGACGAGGCGTGCCTGGGCGACCGGCTGAACGGCATCCTCCTGCAGCTCATCTCCTGCCTGCAGTGCCGGCGCTGCCCCCACTACTTCCTGCCCAACCTAGACCTCTTTCAGGGCAAACCCCACTCTGCCCTGGAAAGCGCTGCCAAACAGACCTGGAGGCTAGCCAGAGAAATCCTCACCAATCCCAAAAGCCTCGACAAGCTATAGGGTTAATACGCCCGCGCACAAAAACTCGCCCTCCGTAAACAACAACAGCGCCTAAAAAACTTTCTATTTAACGCGAACGACGACGGAAAGAGGCGGCGAAAGACAAGCGCCCCCGCCACCCCCCCCACCCACCTGTAGTTCGGCCTTTAAAAACTTGTCGATGGTTTTCCCGGCATAAACTCTCACCGCCTTGCACAGAAAAAGGGAAGAGCCTCTCTCCTCCTGTCCTCCAATGTGAATTTTTAAAAGGTCACAAAAAGAAGCGATCGGACTTTTGCAACTTCAAAACGAAACCCGAAAGGTACATTTTCCAATCCATGTATAGTTCTTTTCTTATGCTCTCTTGTTTGCCTGAATGTTGTCACGAAGTGAAAAAATTATTTAACTATATGTACAAATCTCCCTTTAAAAAAGTTTTACTGATGTTAAATGTATTTCGGTGCCAAGGTCAGATTATGTGCCCCACAACTGACTTGTTGCAAATAGTAATAAAAATATTACTTTAACTTTACGCTGACTTTTTGTGAATGGTTCTTAAATTTAGGCAAATACATTCTTTCTGAACCTCAGAAGGAATATTTTTTAAATAAACGAAACCACGAGATGTAAAGATAGGCTGAACACAACACCTAGCCCAAGTCTTAGCTCAGCATATTGACTGATGTTTTCTAACCTCCTTCTAGTTTCCATTAAAAAAAAAAAAGTGCATCTAAGAAAAAAAATCTTATATATTCTGTAGTTCAGCATGTGACAACATCTGCTATATTTCTGTTACTCTAAGGTTCTGTTCTAAATCTTGGAATATATGAAGCATCGCACAGCAGCTCAACACAGTTTAGTCAGAATTACAGCATGCCTTTTCCTACCCTACAGGCGGGGGTTTTTCCCTTTATTTTTTTTTCCTTGTGGTATTCTTTGCTTCTATTTTTCCCCGGTAAATCTCTAGCGCTGCATTTTGTTTTAAAAATCCACCGCTGTTTGCTTTCGTTCCCCGGAGCTAACGCGCTATCCATTTGACTTTGACGCGAAAGAAGTATAGATCTACCCTGAATAATTAATGCGATTTAGAGCAACCGGTCGGTATTTTTTTTAAACAAACATTTGTTTTTGCCCAGATTTTTAAGTACAGCATAAAATAGCAGCGCAGCATAGTCAGACGGGGAGATAAGCGGGAACCCGTCAGGAAAGCACCCGATCCTACGCCGGCACCCGGGCGCTCTCTGCCGATCTCCTTCCCTGCCCCAGCCCCCTCTCCCAAAGAGAAGCTCTGACTCATTCCCCGTAGCTGTTTCTCTTTCAGCTTGCTCGGGACGACTGAGAAATACTGGCAGGATTTTTATCGGGAACGCGTTCCTAAGATTTAAAAACTTTAGCGTTACCCGCTCGAGCTGCCCGAAAGATTGCAACGCTGGCTAGGAGCATTTCGATTATATCCTTTCGTGGGCCGGGGGGAGGAAAGAAAATTTCTAGTTCTTGCCCCAGAGGACTATTTTCGTTTCCTTTCGGACATAGACGGAAAGAAATAACCGTTCAAACTTGAGCTGGTTTTGCCTTTAAGTTTGAAAACGAAATCCTCGATGGCGGCGGCAGCAGGGGCGATGGAGAGGGATGAGCGGGGCCATCCTGGCCGGCGGAGCGGGCACACCCCGGCTCCGGCCCCGCCGCCGCGTCCGCAGCCCCTCCAGCCCCGGCTGAGCCCCACAAGTCTTTTGTGGAAACATCTGAGCGCTTTCCACAGCGCTGATCCCGGATCACCTGGCAGAACGGGATTAACCGTTCCTTCCCAAAACAGCCCAGAGCTCACGCATAAACTCTGATCGTATCGCTGCCGATGCTATCGCTACCTAAGGCAGGTTTTCCTTTAGGAACTTGTCACAATGTTTTCTTTTCGGTAGTTTAGACAAATATACAGGGAACTTAAATTTATCAAACATATGAAGCCTCATTAATTAAGCAGGCCTGTGGAGCTTACAGCGGATTAGTTGTTGGGGCTTTTTTTTTTTTTTTTTTTTTTTTTCCAAGGGGCATTTTCTACAGCAGCTTTTCATCACTATCAAGGTACACTGACTTCAGGACAGGGTGGGGCAGGGAGGCGTTAATGACTGAAAAGATGCTGCTTGTAAGATTACGTAGTTTTTAAAATGAAATTATTCAGATCTGATTTTTAGGTGTCCCCACCCCGCCCCGAGACATTATAAAAGGTATTGTTTTGAAATTTTAAGACCTCCAGCTAAAGTAACATTGAAAGCAGAATGTAAGAGGTGTAGCCAATATTTCGTGTAACCAACCTCTCCTGTTTTAAGAACTCTTAAGAAAATCTCTCAGATACAGAGCAAAAGATAGGGTCAAACAAAACCAGAAAGCCTGCTCACAGTTAAGAAAAAAACCTCTACCAAATACTGGGAAGCAGCAGAAAAGGAGGCTAACTATATGTTACATAGCAGTGTTTCCACAAAACATGTAACAGGAATGTTAAGAATCAGTAACTATACTCAAAGATCCTATGTGCTGAACATGAAAACCAAAAATCCAGAATAATGCAGATCTATAAGACTCTTCTCATGCTCACACAATATAAAACAGAACATTTTAGATGGAAAATGCAATACAGGAACATTTCAAACAAACTTTAATTTCACATTTATATTCTTTCCATCATTAAATGGGGTTTTTTAGTTAAATTGGGGGAGAGACTAATGAAACATAATAGAAAGATACAAGCATATAAAAATTTTAAGCACGATCTCATATTTAAAATAATTTCCAATATATTTCAAAAATTCTTCAGGACCAAAAGAAAAGTTAAGTCTTATTTATGATATCGCATAAAATCACAATTGTAGCTAATTGCTTACATTAAAATCTAGCTCTAACAATTTGACAGCACTGCTTTTCGGCATAAATTTTTTTCTGGATAGGATTTGATAATCTCAGCTTTCAGACCCACCTATGCCATTTTTAATACAGACAAGAGCAATTTACTCAATGGGAACAAAGAACTGAACCAGTGCTTAACACAAGGTATTCTCTCTACAGACAAGCAGAAAACCACGACTTTTTCCAGCAGTAGCCTTCCCAAAGAAATTGTTAACCAGTTTAACATTAGGCAGGTATTTAAAAAACCAAGAGCCATGACTATGCTTAAATAGTGAGAATATTTACAACTTGTGTCCTACTTTCGAAATGTTGCTGCAAGAGTACAGAAAACATTCAAGTGCAATGTTATTAAGCTAATTGCATTATATGCCCCCTTTGAAATTGGAATTTTACTGAAGGTTACTAATTTTAACCAGAAGACAAGTAATCAAGCAACTCAGAGCAAATAAAGTTTGTGAAAATTATCAAGTCATTTCAGAAACATATTTTAGAAGGGCAATTATGTTTTATGCTTAGGCACAATAAATAATAACGGGCAGAGTAAAATGTGTTAGAGAGTAATATGACAGGAGCACTGTAAACTTAGGAGTGTGGGAAGTTCAGTGCTGTTTTACACTAACATTTGCTAAAATCAGGAAAGTAAAACAAAGTATTAGGGTTAAAAGCCTCGCTGAACTTCCCTGTATTCATACAGGCCTGCGATTCAAGATGTCTTTATTTCAGACATGTTTCCCTGGAGCATTATTCGCAGCAAGCTAATTAACATTCAAGTAGGGTTGAATTGTGGGAGGGGGAGAAAAAGGAGCAGGAAAGGAGGTGTCACCTATGTGAAGTTCAGCAACATATATGGTCAGTGGCAAAGTTATTAACGCAGCAACACTGCAGCCCAATAGAGGTAAAGGAAGTCAAGTGAAGAATTAAAGGTCTTGGGTAATTTGTCATCATCTCTCAGACCTCAGGGTCAATGATCTCTTACCTTTGGGTCGATTTTCTTAAAACTAGGATCTTCTTCATCCACCTCAAAGTAGAGCTCAGAAAGAGTGATGGAAAGGGTGCCTTTCACTACTGCGGAGGGTGCCACAAGCTGAGCTGGTGTGCTGAGGGACACTGGACCTGCCAAAGCAGGAAAACACCAACAATGTTCAAACTGAAAAGAATGCAAGTACAAATTATTCACTTTTCAGGCCAAGGACATTAAAATAAAGCAAAGAGCACAGCTCTTCCTTACAGAGCAAACCCCTTTTTGTCCCGGAAAAGAACATATGTAACAGATTTGCAGTGTCTCTGTGCTGCCGAACACTGAGGCAGCTGCAATTGCAAACTGCTGCATACATTACACAGAGCTGGCTTTAGCAGGGCAGTCTTCAGCTTTTACTCAGACACATCTTCTGTCCAAGAAACTCCAAGAGTTGCACACCTTCTGTTACATGAAATATAGAGAGTGCACACATGAACACTCAAAATCTTACTGTATGCTGTGTTCTTTAGTTGCTGAGAAGTTTTGATAGCATTTCACAAAGATGAACACAGCAGTCAAGGCTCAAAGTTGTCTAACTGCAAAGTGTTCTCTTGTGGATGCTGGAAATCTATTGTTAAGGTTACACAATGTTATAGAGCCTAAAGTAAAATGATTTAAAGATGCTTTTGATTCCATATTAAATATTGTTCAAGGATTCCATACAGTGTTAGTGTAGCTTGGGGACTGTGGGAGTAAACAGCTGGAGGGTTGGTTTCCAACTGAATTAATTTTTATTGGAATAATCACATCTCCACAGGGCTTATCACAGGGACAAATCAGACTACTACTGAAAACAATAGGTTCAGAATTATATAAACTAACACATACAGAATGAAAACAGGCTATGTTTGTCATCCAGCTGATTAAGAGGCAAGGAAATGAAGTTACATGGCTGCAGTATTATCTGACTTTTGTAAAACAGAGGAAGATACTAAAGTGACATAGACAATTTTGTTTTAATAAAGCATCTATAAATGAGGTACACACGTCCAGGTAATCAACGTGAGAATAACTGACAAAAAATTCAGATGAATTGTCATTTCCATCGATTGTTAGAAGGGTGATGGTCCTTAATCTCGCATCAATCTCAATGTGTGCCACTAGGACAAAAGAAGAGATGCTCTGCTGAGATCAGAGCAGCTTTGCCCTCTATTCCCAACGTACAAATACATTGTGTCTGCAGATGGGCATAAGATAGCTGCGGAA